TCGATAGATAGAAAAATTCGCAATATATATATATATATATAGAGGCTCGTTATATTGAGGTTCGACTGTACATATTGCCATGTTCCGTAAGCATTTCAATGAACGAGTGGTCCAGTGGTAAAGCCGTCGCTAGTGGAACTGTTGGTTTCAGGTTCAAGACCTACAGATTGCTAATCGCCGGTTTCTTTAATTTGATTTAAATTGACTCTCTGGAATTTTACAGAGTTGCAGCGTATGCAAATTTATGTTAGTTTAAGCACTTCTAGAATATTCTAGATGTCACCACACTGTATCGTATATAAGCTGCTTCCCTCGAGCTGGAATTCAGTTCGTCTTGTGTATCATCAAGTAGATCACGTTTGTATTTAATAAATCCTCACATTGCTCTATTCAACCGTTGTAATGCTGCCTGCTCTATTCCAAGAATCTTCGTGACAGTATAAATTATTTTTAGTTGGGACCGGAGATGAAAGAAAAAAATGATAACTTAGAAAAAAATATTTATAATAAATTTTTAGATAACACAAATACAAAATAGCTTAGCAAAAGTTATTTTTACGTAGAAGGTTTCATAAAATCTAACAAGTGTAGTCTCTGCCAGCTCAAAGAGTTTTTTTCTCTCGCAAAGTTTTCTCGAAGAATATTAATAATTTTTTATTCCTTGTTTTGTAGAAAAATACGCTCTTCATGGATGTCTACATTTTCAAAAATTTGTAACCCTTTTTCAACTAAACAGAGGCTTGTCAAATTATCAACCGTCATTCGATCTTCTTATAAACTGGGACTACAAACTCAAGTTCTTCGATGTCTTGCTCTTACTCATGGATTTCTATGAGTTGATCGTGAGATTCTGATTGAAGGAATCCAGCAATTCTTGAACGTCATCACTATCCACTTCTGAATTTATTTGTCTGGAGAGATAGACAACTTCTTCAATAAAATTACCCCTTTCATCTTTCTCTGGCAATGATTTAGTCTGAGTTTTATTGATGGAAAAATTAAAAAAAAAAAGACAAATCGGCAGGATTTGAAAATTGCGTAACTCCGAATTTGCGTAAGTCGGAGTAGAGTAGGTCGAGGTATTACTGTATATTAATCTACAATGTAAAAACATATAATCGTAGTGGATTACTTTGTGTAAGTAGAACAATAAAAACAAGCAATATAAAAAAAAAATTTTAAGTCAATTCCTACTTAGATCAACAAAGAAAATTTTATTTCAGCTACTTTTTATTAAATAGTTACAATTAATATAAATATCTCTATACATATGACATAATCACAGCATTAAAAGTGGTGATTAATTTTTATTAATTGCCATTAAAGCATCGTATTTTCAACCAAAACAATTGTGTATATAAGATTTCAGTTCAACTGAATGCTTTAAAACGTGATAAAAACATTTTCAAGTTTTGACACAAGTCGCCAAAAGGGTCGCTAAGACGCCAAAAATGATGCCAACGTGGCTGTATTTGTTATTCTTTAAATAATTAGTTTTATTCAATTAATTTTTATTAATTATAATTAAAAATTACTGTATTGTCATCCAAAATAATCATGCATATAAAATTTCAGCTCAATTGAGCGCATTAAAATATATTTTATTAACGATTGAAAATTCCACCAAGATAAATAAATAAATAAATATACAAAGAGAGAGAGAGAGAGTGTGTGTGAGCTATATATAATAGTAGGAATTGAAAATCAATTGTTTGGTTCACAAAGTGTACTGTATTACATTTCTTCAGGTCAGAAAAAGTGATTTTACAATAGACTGTGTATAAATTAGAAAAAAAAATCATATCAAAAGAACAATCCAAACAGTATCTTTCGAAACCGGTTTTATGAAGACTCTTACAAAGGCTATATATAATTTTTCGAAGAACATTTAAACATTCAAAAACGTTCGTTGAGTCTTGAACTTAAAAAATTATTAATTTTTCCAAAGTGCGTATTTAACATCTTTTAACTTATCAATCATAAATAAAATTTGAGCCAAAGGTGGTTAATTATTGGTAATTATTTCTACCATTACGTAGTTTTTGTAAAAGTTTAGTCTTAATTTCTTAAAAGCTATTTGTGTCTACAGTAAAAAAATAATGAAATGGTAAAACTGAGATCAAAACTTTTATTGGTTCAACGATCTTAGTTCAGAGTGAAGTTTTATAGAGTTTTTCATCATTCTTAGAGCGTTTAAAAGAACATTTGCTTTTTGACATAATATTTTAATAAATGAATAAAACAATAGAATGAAGATTTAGAAGGAAGGAATTAACAGTTTTTTTAAAAAAAAGATGAGGAATTGATCAATTAAGTAAAGTTTTGGAAAAGTGATTTTATGTAGAATTTTTTTTTCCATATCCATAGTACGAGTATATCTTCAGATATGTGATATGCTTTGAAGGAGACACGTGTAACCTAGCAAAAAGTACCTTTACTGTAAAAAACTTTGAGTGAAAGAATACTACTATCAGTTATCTGTTTTGATGGTTATTGACACATTTTTATTTTAAAGACATTCTAGGGTTACTTTGAACAAACAAACAAACAAACAAACAAACAAACAAACAAACAAACAAACAAACAAACAAAACAATGAAATAAGTTAGTGGTTTTCAATAATATAAAAATGAAATTAAAAGTAAGAATGATTAATAATCCTATTTTTCATGTTTGAAAACATACGTTAATTTTGTAAAATTTGAAAGAAAACCGAAAAAAAATTTAAACACTTTTTTATATTAAAATATTCATTTATGCTTCATATACATATTCTCAAAATAAATTTATCAATGAAATTGTTTTTAGTGCAGACGGAGTTCGTTAAGAGAGAATAAATTTTCAATTCCTACTATTATAGTTCACACTCGGCATATATATATATATATATATATATATAAATAATTCCCTCTAGTACCCTTTTTATAAATTAACTCTTTGTACTAAAATTTAAAATAACTTTAAATCTTTGGTTTAAAAATAACAGCGTAATCTTAATCGAAATCGGCTAGTCAGAAATCCCTGTCCCGCTCATTCTAGCCAATCAGAACTACTATTACGTAATAATCACTGTTGATATAAAAGCAAAAATCTGGTGTAATCGCTCTCTTTGTCTGCTTGCCTTCATCATGTAAAAATGTAAATAACCGCTGCTGCTGTTTATCGTTGTCTGCTTTACTTAGTAATCATCGAAAGTTTCTCTATTCAATGTGAAAATGTACCGCAATTGTGTTTTTTTCTGCTGTATGTGTGATGTGAGCTTCATAAAAAAGGAGGTAAAGTTATTCGGAAGATGTCTTCAATAAAACAGATATGACAACAACCAACAACGGCCAACGCTACTACAATACATGACATATATATATATATATATATATATATCTTGTTCAAAATTTCAATCATAATAAAATACTTTTTATTCATCCATTCAAGTTTAAATACATACATTCATGGACCATAAATTTAGCGCACCAAGAAATAATTGCAGAAACGCAACGAAACTTGGCATTGAGGTACATATCAGGAAGGCATGCAAATTATCATAAATACAGCGTGATTACGCATTACTTATAGCCGGTAGAGGACGTTTAACGTCGTTCTTCGTGGAGTATAAAATAGGTAACCGAAGCTTGTATGAGTGTGCTGAATCGTTTACAAAGAATGAGCTGAAAAAGACATGCCACTACGCCGTTTTCGAAGACAATATGAACAGCTGTCGAAGTTTGAGAGGAAGAGAATCTTCGGCATGATGGAAGCTGGATGGTCAGCTAGGCGAGTAGCTCGTCAATTGGGCCGCTCTGAATGTGTTGTGAGGAGGTGTTGGGACTAATGGATCCGAGAGATGTCAGTTACACGTAGACCAGGCTCAGGACGCCTTCGACAGACCAGTCGTAGAGAAGACCGCCACATCGTAAGAAATGCACTCGTACAGCCAACTGCTTCATCAACCGCCATCTAGGCACAGGTAGCACCTTCACTAGGGGCCCCTGTGTCTTCTCGAACCGTGCGAAGGCGCCTGGCTGAAGGACGTTTGGGATCGCGGCGCCCATTACGTGTGTTGCCCTTGACGCCCACCCTTCGACGCCTCTGTTTCGAGTAGTTCCGTGCACGAGGAAACTGGACTGCAGCGGAATGGAACCAAGTCGTCTTTAGCGGTGAATCCAGATTCAATCTCAGCAGTGATGACAATCGTGTTCGTGTGTGGAGACCCCGTAGTGAATGCTTTAATCCTGCCTTTGCTTTACAGCGACACACCGCTCCAACAGCTGGTGTGATGGTATGGGGTACCATTGCCTACAATACACGGTCACCCCTAGTATTGATCCGGTCCACCATGATAGCCCAGCGATATGACCATGACATCCTGCAACCGCATGTGTTGCCACTCATGCAACAGCTCTCAGGAGCCCTTTTCCAACAAGACAATTGTCGGCATCACACGGCAAGGGTGTCACAAGACTATTTCCGCACTGTTACTACCCTTCCTTGGCATGCTCGATACCCAGATTTGTCTCCAATCGAGCATATTTGGCATCATTTGGAACGACGAGTTGGCAATCCCACGAATTTGAACGAACTAGAGGCAAGGATACAGCAAATATGGAACGAAATGTCTCAAAACATCATACACAACTTTGCCTCAATGCCCGATCGTATCGCATCGTGCATTCGTGCTAGAGGGAGTTTAACAGAGTATTAAATCCCCCGTTCTTTTGCCTTTTTCTCTGAAATAAATGATCCTTTTTCTTTGATTTTCTAATCTTTAACTTATATCAAAGAAATCATTATGCATATAAAATTTCGTTTCATTTTGTCAGCTCTTTCCTGTTGCGCAAATTTTTTTGTTCATGAGCTATTTTTAGACTTGTAGTGGATGACACTTGATGTTAATACAGTTTTTTCAAATGTTAATTCATTAGATAAATTTAATTAATGAATAACTATTAAGAAACAAATATAAAAGTTAAGCAACTTATATAAAAAAGAAAATTGCTCGTTATGTCCCTGTAACGCAATGGATAGCGCGTTGGACTTCTATTCGAAAGGTGGGTTCGAATTGCACCTGGGACGGCCTAATTTCTGTGAATGTGATTTCTTTTTACTATACTATTTTATTGGAACAATTAAATTTAATTAATGAATAAATAGTAGCAAAGAAAAATAATAGTCCAACACTCTATATAGAAAGGAAAATGAAAAATCGCGTTCTATTTTACCACTTAATGTTGGGATACTGTCATATGCATATACATATTTATATTAATTGTAATTATTTAAAGAAAGTAACTAAAATAAAATTTTCTTTGTTGACCCATAAGTAGGAATTGACTTTAATTTTTTACTTGTTTTCTTTGATATTTTGCAAATACGATGATAAAAACTAGTTTCAGGAAATCCTTTTTCAATTCCTATTATTAGCTTCCTCTCTCTGCATATACATATTTATTTACTAGCTGGTATACTCGTTCTTCGCACGGGTGAACTGAAAAATTAAACAACACAGATTGAAGGATAAAGAAGTTTTTAATGAGTTAATTTTACGTGAATTGCAAATTAAACGAAAAAAGCTTTTTGCATATAAAAATGATTTTTTTTTATTTATAATTCCCCGTAACACTTTTGAGGGTCGATTTTTGAAAATACGTCCCTAAGCTGATCTCTGCTCAGCAAAAGTAACACATTGTAAAAAGTTTTGCGTAATGAACGCTTAAAATAGTGTAAATAATTTATATCTGAAAGTGTAATACATTAACATTACTTTCTGTTATATTTATTTTATGTTAAAATTGTAATATTCGCAAGCAACGCCGTTTCTTAAATTATAATGGCGATTCAATGAAAAACACAGCGAAATGATAACGATAGAGTCAAGTTGGAAAATCTCTAGCTACTTTCACAGCTCGAGCTTTATTGGAGCTTTGTAAGACCCGCCGTGTAGGGGAGCGATGCACGTTAATGCTTTACCTACCACATTATGATTTACTGCAGTTTTTTTCATACAATTTTTTTATCACTACATTGAAAATTAAGGGATTTATATAAACGAAATACTCTACTTTGGGAAATTTAATCCGTTAGAGATAATAAATTAATTAAAGATATTCCACTGTAAAATTAATTATGTACACCGTTCACATAAAATAAGTAGTCAAATCGTTTGATAAGGTCTTCTTTAACATATAAAAACATAAGACACTTAAATTTTGACATAAACTAATTATTCGGGACAAAAATAATAATCTTTGCAATCCGCTGAAAACGCCGTCAGCTGAAAACGCATATCCGCTGAAAAACTGTTCGCCTTCCCCGCTAAAATACTCATCATAGAACCCGTGCTGCCATATATCGTGGAAGAGTGGATTTTAAAGAATATTCCTGCTAAGTATTGGTAGAATATTCCTTCTAAGTTGGTGTGGTGTGGTAGTTAGGAGAAGGGGATGCCAGCTCAGGTCTCGTCCACGTCACTTGACCTTGGTTCAAAATTTCGTGGTCCGTTGCCAAAAGCCCTCGTGTAGCTGAACAGTGCGACGTTAATATTCACTCACTTCAAAAAATACAGTGTAGTAGTTATAATTATTTTTATACTTAAAAATGCAATATTCACCTATTCAATTAAAATTATAGCGTTATAATTTACTACTAACCACAAACAAACTATGCAAATCTGTCCAAAAGATGAAGTGTGAAAGACAAAGTTTATCTACTTTAAATACCAGAAGCAATAAAAGTACTTATTTTGAAAAAGATCAATTTCTTACTATCAAATTTCCATAATAAAATCATTAAAAAACATTCAAATAAAGAGATATTTATAACAACATCTCCCTTCAAAACTTAGTTTTGTTCTGAAATAAAAAAAAATTAGGGATTATGTAGATCACCAAAATTAATTAGAAGCAAGCGCCTTGCGTAGCCAAAACAAAAACGGTTATTTCACAAACAAAAGATAGATATATGCTGTCGTGGGTTTTTTTGCAGCACACCCCAGAATTGCTTTCAGATGGCTGAATTTTTTCCTACTTACTTGACAAATATCGTTATGTTTTGGACACTTCTCACAATATCTTTATAAATTATAGCCTATGTTTTATTCTGATGTATAAGCTATATTACTGTAAAGTTTCATTAAAATCCATCCTGTTGTTTTTGCGTGAAATAGGCCCAAACATCCTCACAAACTTTCGCATTTATAATATATATCTAGATTTATCTTGGTGGAATTTTCAAGCGTTAAAAATACATTTTAAACGCTCAATTGATTTGAAATTTTATATACATGATTATTTAAGATGACAATACAATAATTTAATTATAATTAATAAAATTTAATATTATTAAAACTAATTATTTAAAGAGTTACAAATACAGCCACGTTGACATCATTTTTGTCGACTTTGCGACCATTTTGGCGACTTGTGTCAAAGCTTGAAAAGGTTTATTTCTCACGTTTTAAAGCATTCAGTTGAACTGAAATTTTATATACACGGTTGTGTATGATACTTTACTGATAATTAATAAAAGTTAATTACTACTTAATGTTATGATTCTGTTATATGTATATACATATTTATAATAATTGTAACTATTTAATAAAAAGTAGCTCAAATAAAATTTTTCTTTGTTGATCTAAGAAGGAATTGATAATTTTTTTTATGTTACTTGTTTCCATATAAAACTGCTTTTCAATTATATAAAAATTGTATTTTTAGAACAGGAAACTAATTTGTTTCGTGTGATTCTTAAAGATAATGAACGTGTTCCTAAATTTATGAAAAGGTGATTAAGTTTTTGTCCCGTTTAGCACGTCGTGTCTTCAATTATCAAAATGTTGAGCTTAATAATTTACAACACGGAATAAAAGAAAGGGGTTTTTAAGTTTTGAATTAATAATGTAAGATTTAATTTCGCTAAAAATGCAAAGAAAACCAGAATATAAATTTTCGACTCATAGGTGGAAAATAAAACCAATTTCTCTAGTTTTTCACAAACATATGTTATTAAAACTTTTCTGTTCTATTAACAATGCTCACTATAGGTGGTGATTCGGAAAAAAAGTTATGGTAGAAAGAGCAGAGAAAAAATAATTTCATGAATATTCTATACGCTTAGGGCGTTACTGATGAGAAATGCAATTTTCGATCTAATTTAAGAATCTAGAAATTGTTTTGTTTCATTTTCCGAAACAAAAGCGTGGGGAAAAAGAACTATCTTAAATAAAATAAATTTACGTGATGTCGAAAATAGTCTTCATCTCATAGGATATTAAATCAACACAATGAGTTTGATAAAAATGAGTGTCCTTCCTTTCAGTTCTTTCTGTTTTAAATAAAATTAGAAACCTAAACTGTGCTGTCAACTGCTACAAGTTATTCCGTTGCTATTCGATTGCAGTTATTTTGGTTGCACTAGTCTTAGTTTGATTGCTCAAAGTTTCCAAGGAGATTTAGAATACCTGGTTATTGGGTATGGTTTATTTGTATTTCGGTGTTACAAAATGTAACGACCGCTCATCCGGTATAGTGGTTAGTGACACTGACTGCAGTACCGTAGGTCTTAGGTTAGAATCCCGGAGATGACATGAATATTTGTAAAAGTACAGTGCATTTGCTGCACAGGGGTACTTTAAATAACCGTCAAGTCCTCTCGTGAGGTTTGGTGGAAGGGGAAGAGATGTGGGGAGCCTCTGACCACCTCAGGGATGTTCTCTCTTAAACCAAAGCCGACCAAAAATGGTACAGTCACTCACTTGCATGGTGCTCCAAGCTACGGCTCACGACAGGCCTTGCATCTTTACAGTATGCCGTGATGAATTTCGTGGGCCTCGATCTAACACCGTCAGACAGGTGGCAGTAGAAGCAAGAACAACATACTGTTTTAGTGTTTCTTATTGATTTGTTTCTATATTAATTTTTTAGAACAAATTTTAAAACTTTTATATATTATTTATAAAAAAAGAACATTTATCTCTTTCTTTAATTTTTGGTCTCACTTACATCTCAGAGGTCTTAAAGATTAATCCAGCTTTATAAAAATATAAAATTATGTTACATCATTTTTTATTTAAAGCAAAAAGGTCTTTAAACATTATGTTGTTAAATATCAATCGAACATAATCATGAAGTAAAGCTGTTTTTGCAGTCGTTTTGAAGTTTCAAATTATAGTTAATTACTGAACAGAATGTATCGCAGTGAATTACTTCTTAAAAATGTAATTAAATTCTGTGTACTATATGACATTTAACACTGCAATATTTATTTGAAATTGCATATTTTTTTCTTTTGAGAAGCACGAGTGTTTTTGGTGCGATATGTTTTTTCTAAAACTATCTTCTTGAGCGTCGTCTGTTTCCTAAGCTACAGCTTCCGTACTTCAGTGCAGATCACACACATATGAGTTATTCTCTTAATACCTCCCAAAAGACGTTGTCCCTTATTGTCAAGAAACTTTCCCAAAGATTTAGACGTTACAGGATTTCCTTTTTCTTTAACATTTGTTACTGTTCAGTTTGGTATCTTTTCTTAGATTTTACGGACATTCTCTTTTTTTCACGTATTAGAAATGTTTTATATTGCCAATAAATTTTAAAAATATTTCACCAGTATTTTCCGATTTATTTAGAATCTTATCACAATTGTTGATTCCAATTTCAAATATTGAGATTTTGCGAAACACTTATTTTGAGCCTTTTCGAATAATAAGGTATAATGATTATTGTTAAAAATGATACATTATTAACAAATAATTGAAGACATTTTAGTACATTACACACATAAACTACATTTGTTTATAAAAAAAAAAAAAAATAAGCAAACAATGGTAAACAATTTTAAATTTTGTATTCTCATAAAAAAAGATCAAATTTATTTTAAAAATGAAGTATACATTAGAGAGGGGTATACACTCTTCGCGATGTTTTACAATATTTTGTTTCAAAATGGTTTTACTACAAGAGCAAGCGTAGGTTGTTGGTTTATCAAATTTAAATCTGCAACACAGGTGCAGAGTAAATCACAGACTACCTACAGTCGAAGTCCACCTTCAAGACCTGCAATTAGGGATTGCAATATCA